AAATATCAAAAAAAAAATAAATAAATAAATAAGAAATTAATAAATTCTTTTATACAATAAATTACCATTATACTAATTACTTTAATAATGTAACAATTGAAATTTCCGATGAATTTTAAATTTGAAATTAAAATTTCTTAATAATTTGAATATAATAACTTTTTTTTTTTTTTTTTTAGAAAAATGTTAACAGAGAAAATGTAAGCGAAAGAATTAAACAAATATTGTACAGAACATTTGAAATGAAAAAAAAAAAAAAAAAATGGAAAAGGAAAAAGAAAAAAACAACAAAGCTATAAATTTTTTTCTTAAAGAAGATAAACATTTCTTTTAACTCTTTTCTCTCTCTCTCTCTCTCTCCCTCTCTCTCTGTCTTTCTCTCTCCCTTTCTTTCACAAAATGTAAACAAAATACTTTTCAAAATTTAAAAGAAATTAAGTATATATTTTAAGAAATTTTTTCTATTATTTCACTGCATCAATTATATTTTATTTGTGACAAATAAGAATTTTCAAAGAAATTTATTATTAAAGATGAGAGTTTCTGAAAAAGAAATTGTTAAGAACTAAAACTAAAGAGTAATTTTATCATTATCCAACTTACTCTTAGTATTAACATTTTATAGTAAGTAAGTAAGTAGGTAAGTAATATGATGGCAATTAGTAGTAAGTTAATAAGTAATAATTAATAATAGTAATGTGTAATCGATAGGAAAATTAAGATAAAAATAGATGAAATTTTTTGAATTTTCGTTCCTTTAACAATCCTAAAATACTGATAAATTAGAAAGTAGTAAATAATATTAATTAATATTAAAAATTAAATAAAGTATTAAGTATGAAGTATTAGGTTATAGTATTAAGTTTATAGTATTAAGTATTAAGTTATAGTATTAAGTATTGAGTTATATAGTATCAAGTTGAAAAATAGTGTTAAGTTATATTAAGTACTAAGTTATGTAGTATTAAGTATTGGGTTATAGTATTAAGTATTAGGTTATAGTATTATTAAATTAAAAAACAGTCTTAAGTTATATTAAGTTAAAAAATAGTGTTAAGTTATATTAAGTATTAAGTTCTGTAGTATTAAGTATTAGGTTATAGTATTAAGCATTAAATTATAATATTAAGTATTAACTTATATAGTATTAAGTATAAATTAAAAAATAGTCTTAAGTTATATTAAGTATTAAGTTGTATTATTATTATTAAGTAATAATAGTAATAATACTTTGTACTGAATAAATATAAGAATAAATTTGAAATGAAAATAAGTGAGAATTTTTTTTTTTTTTTTGAATTTTCTATTTTTCAAAATTTTCAAATAGTTTTATATCAAATTTATATAATTATTTATGAATTACTATTATTACTTAATAATAATAATAACTATTAATTTTTGTTTTAATAATAAATATTAATTAAAAATTTTTATCCAATAAAGTTAAATAAAACAATAAAATTATATAATTTAAAATTTGCTAAATAACAAAAATTAATTTATAATTTTTGCAAAAAAAAAAAAAAATTACTTTAATCATTGAAAAAAAAAAAACAAATTAACTTACAATTTTTGCAACGATTAATTTTAGCATTGAAAAAGATTGAAAATATATTTTTAAAAATAAACAATAAAATCTAAACAAAATCTTTTTCTTTTATATGTTTCATATGTAACCAATTATCAGATACCATTTCAATGATTTGTAGTTAGCCAAGATTATAAATGAGCCAAGATCATAAATGAGCCTAGGCCAAGAAGTGATATTTCATTTAGGCCTATTCTGTATTTTTGATTGGCCATAAAAGAGAGAGGAAGGAAGGAAGGAAGGAAGGAAAAAAGAAAAGGAAGAAAAGGATGAAAATTAAACAGAAAGTGACAAATTTAAAGGAATAATCGGGCAAAAAAAAAAGCAAGAGAGAGGGAGAGAGAGAGAGAGAGAGAAAGAAAGAGAAAGAGAAGAATGAAGATAAGGTCGTTTTCTTTTCAAAATCAACAAAAATTCAAAAATGATATTGAAAAAAGAAATTCATTCTTTTTTTTTTTTTTTGTTACTATTTTTTCTTAAGAGAGAGAGGGAGAGAGAGAGAGAGAGAGAGAGAGAGAGAGAGAAATAATAAAAGAAAAAATATATAAATGTTAGTTAAAAATTAACATTTGAAATGATTTGAAACTTTACAAATATAAAATATTTGTAATTATTCGTCAAAAAAAAAAAAAAAGTGTATATTTTATAAAAATTTATATTCAATTTCAGTTCATTCAATTTTATTTCATTCATTAATTCATTTTAATTTCTTTACAATTTATATATGTAAATGCATAGCAGTACTGAACAATATGTAAATTAAAATATATTGCAAAAAATTTTTAAATATGCTACCACATTTCAACCTTTGACCCTAATTTTAGTTACAATAATAATAATGAAAATAATTTTAAAATCTTAAATAATATGAAAATCGTTTTAAAAATTATGCCAATAATAATGAAAATCATTTTAAAATTTTCAATAAAATGAAAATCAATTTTAAAAATTACATTAATAATGATAAAAATCATTTAAAAAATCTTCAATAATAAGAAAACCGTCTAAAAAATTAAATTAATAATAATGAAAATAATTTTAAAATTTTCAATAAAATGAAAATCAATTTTAAAAAATACATTAATAATGATAAAAATCATTTAAAAAATCTTCAATAATAAGAAAACCGTCTAAAAAATTAAATTAATAATAATGAAAATAATTTTAAAATTTTCAGTAATAAGAAAACTTTTTTAAAAATTACATTAATAATAATAAAAATCATTTTAAAATCTTAAATAATAAGAGAATCATTTTAAAAATTATACCAATAATAATGAAATTAATTTTAAAATTTTCACTAATATGAAAATCGTTTTTAAAAAAAAAAAAAATTCAATAACTAACACATTGCATCAACATTTTCCAATATTAATCAAAAAATATTTTTTGAAATGAAATGGAAATGAAATGAATTGATTCTTTTTTTTTTTTTTATAATTTTTTTTTTAATTTTTGCAATCATTATAATTTGATGAAATGATAAATGAGATGATTAAAATAAAATGATTCTTTTTTATAATTTTTATAAACATTATAATTTCCCAAAAGAATTTAAAATAAGTGCAAAAGTTATTAACATTAGTATTTAATTATTTAAATAAAAATTAACATTAATATTTAATTATTTAAATAAAAATTAATATTAACGAATGAATGAAAATTATTTTTTAAAAAAAAAAAAAATGCATTGAAGAGAAATTGCATTCAAATAACAAAAATTCTTATTTTGAACGATAAAAACTATTTCATTTCATTTCATTTCATTTTTTTTTTTTTTTTTGAATTTCATTCAGAACTTAATTTTATGTTTTTTTTTTTTTTTCATTTTTCTAAAATATCAATCAAATAAGAGAAGATGAAATGAAATAGAAAAGAAAAAAGACATAAATAAAATGAAATTGAAATAATATAATTTTATAGGAAATGAAAAATGAAAAAGAAATGTAAAAAAATATCTCTCAGAGATTCGAGAAAAAAGACAGAGAGAGACAGAGACAAAGAAAAAGACAAAGTTACTTGAAAATGATTTTTGAAAATATTAAATAATAATTTTTTTTTCCATATAGCAATCAATGTTAATTCAATAAATTTTTTTATTTTCTTTTAGCTAAAATAAATTATTTTGTTATGTTAGTTCAGAAAGAGGAAAAAATTCTAAGAAAAAGGTAAAAAAAAAGAACGAAAAAAAAAAAGAGAAATAGAAATAATTAAATATGGTGGAAAAAGAAAAAAGGAAATTGACAAAGAATTATGAAAAGGAATTCCGGATGATGTAATATGGAAGAATTTCCGTATTTATTTATTAAGCAAAATATAAGGCTGAAAGGAATAACTCATATTAAAATGATGAAAGCAACGAATAAATCATTTTACGGATGCTTACTTCACGTAATAAGTAATACTTAGAAATGTTTATAGATAAGTCATTTTACGGATGCTTACTTCACGTAATAAGTAATACTTAGAAATGTTTATAGATAAGTCATTTTACGGATGCTTACTTCACGTAATAAGTAATACTTAGAAATGTTTATAGATAAGTCATTTTACGGATGCTTACTTCACGTAATAAGTAATACTTAGAAATTTTTATAAATGATTTTAAAAAATGGAAATGAAAAAAAAAAGAAATAAATGAAGAATGTTAGAAATTAAAGTCGGAAGAGAATTTAAAGTCAGACTAGCATTTTTATGACAATCTTGCAATTGTCGTAAAATTTATTTCATTTTATTTTTTCACATTTTTTTTCAGCAATTTTTTTTACCAGAATTTGAAAATGATAAAAGTTTTTTTTTTTTTTTTTTTTGCTTCTTTTCCTTTCTGAATTGAATAAAATTTTGTTCATTTTTGAATTCGTTTTTCTTTCTTCTTTTTTTTTTTTTTTGATTTATTATAAAATTTATTTGCATAAAAAAAATTATTTTTCTAATTTGCAGCAAAATGTTTGGATTATTTGGAATAAATGTAAAAATAATTTTAAAAACATTGAAATAATAATAAAAATTTAGCAAATGGTAAAATTTGCAATAAAATTGAATTTTTTTTTTTCAAAAAAAAAAGAAACCGTTTATTACGATATTTTTATGTTACTAAATATTATTACATTATTATATAATTTTTCATTGCACAAATTTTTTTTGTAGTATTTTTTTAAATAAATGTATGAATATGAATTAATGTGTATCCGTTAAGAAAAATCTAAAATTCTCATTGGAAAATGAATACTTAGTGCCTTTTAAATAATTCATTTTTGAAATATTATTACTTTACTCATCTCTCATTTTGAATTTGCATATTTCATATTTTTGATTTAATTAAATTGACAATAGAATGTTGTCGATGATGAAGATGACTGATGATAATGGGAATGATGATTACAATGGCATGATGATGTTGATTACTATCTATAAATGTCGATGATGATTGTGATTGGTGGTAATGATGATAACTGATGATAACGATGATCTTCATCATCACAATCTCGTATTCACTCATGTATTCATGACTCGTATTCACCAAACGAATATTTGAAAAGCGCCTTATCAATATTTGTATATGTATTTCGATGATAATGATGACGATGATTATTGATGATAATTGATGAAATGAATCTATGTTGATAATGATGATAATGGTGAGTGATAATGATGCTGATAATGACGAGTGGTAGTAATGGTAACGATGAGTGGTGATGATGATGATGATGATGATGACTATGATAATTGATGATGACAATGATTATTGATCATAAGTGATGATCACAATCTTATTGATGATGGTAATGATGATAATGATGATTACAGTAGTATGATGATGTTGGTCACAATCTATAAATGTTGATGACGATCATAACTGATGATAATGATGATAATTGATGATAACGACGATGATCATCATCACACTTATCATAACTTTTCTTCACAAAAACAAATATTTGAAAAGCGCCTCATCAAGATTTGAATTATTCCAATCATTTATTTATTCCAACGATTTATCTATTTGAGCTTAACAAGCTTAAAAATTATAGCGAAATGTTCAGAATACGATTTCATTGTTATTTGAGAATATTCTTCCTGTTAGATGAATAATTTGTACAAAGATTACCCAAAACAAACTTTACTTACCCGAGTGAGAGTTGAAATTAAAATTCAATTCTAATTTAATTATACTTAACATATTTGATCTAATTTTTAATTAAGACTCATCTAGCATAGATGATAAGGATAAATTTTTATATAGTTGCTACAATTTATTCACAATTGTTTTAAAATAATACTAGTAAAAAAAAAAAAATTTATTTTATATCAATCAATTAATCAAATCAATCGATTAGTAAATTAATTAATAGTTTCTGTAAAAAAAAATTTTTTTATTTTTTTTCCAATTGAAAAAAAAAAAAATAAAAAGAAAAGAAAAAAATGAATGGAATGAATGAATAAATAAAATAAGTAAATGTCATTGTATGAAAGAAAAAAGAAAAGAAAATTCTTTCTTTTTATTTCTCATTTCATTCTACCAAAAAAAAAAAAAAAAAAAAAGAATTATTCGGCGAAAAATTATTCACTTATTCGAATAAAAAAAATATTGGCAAAATTGTATGTTGTAAAAAAATAAAAAAAAAAAGAAGAAAAATAATTTTCATCTATTTTTCCTTTTATTTTATTTTATTTTTTTTTCTAATCAAATAAATTAGAACAAATAAAAATTTGATTCAAATGTTCAAAATAAGCAAAATTTGTTAAATTTCATTTTTAAATATGCAAAATTTGTTAAATTTCATTTTTAATTAAGCAAAATTTGTTAAATTTCATTTTTAAATATGCAAAATTTGTTAAATTTCATTTTTAATTAAGCAAAATTTGTTAAATTTCACTTTTAAATATGCAAAATTTGTTAAATTTCATTTTTAAATAAGCAAAATTTGTTAAATTTCATTTTTAAATATGCAAAATTTGTTAAATTTCATTTTTAAATAAGCAAAATTTGTTTTAAATAAGCAAAATTTGTTAAATTTCATTTTTAAATAAGCAAAATTTGTTAAATTTCATTTTTAAATAAGCAAAATTTGTTAAATTTCACTTTTAAATAAGCAAAATTTGTTAAATTAAATATTTTTTTTTCTTCCTCTTTTATAAAATAAAATGAAAAGGATAAAAATTTTATTCATATATTTATCAAATTTATCTCAATTTTTTTCACTTTTTTATTCTTCATTATATATAATAATATTATTATTTCTTTTTACAAATGAATTTTTCTTAACTTTTTCTACAATCACTAAATTATTTTAAGTTGAATTTTAAAATTATGAATTATAATTATAAATTTTTAATTGAATTAATAGAAGCGGAAAGTAAAAAAAAAATTTTAAAAAATGGGTTTGATATGATAATATTTTATATACTGATATGATACTATTTTATATATTGATATGATAATATTTTACATATTGATTTGATAATATATTGTATATTGATATGATTATATTTTAAATATTGATATGGTAACATTTTATATACTGATATGATAATATTTTGTATAATGATATGATAATATTTTATATATTAGTATGATAATATTTTATATTGATATATAATTTTATATATTGATATGATAATATGTTATAATTTGTATTCTATGATTAACTTATAATAAAAATTATTTCACTTTGATTATTTCTAACATTTTTTTTATCACATAAAATTTATATTTAATTTCATACTAAACGCAAAAAATACTTTTTCACAAAAATATAAGATCATATTTTGTACTTTCTATTACAAATATAATTTCATTTAAAAGAAAAAGTTTAAAAAAAAAAAATCAAATTTTATTTTTACCACTTAAAATACGTGTTTGAAGTATTGTTGAATGCTGTTGATTCTTTCGTTCATGTTGCGTGTCATGTCGTTGACGGAATTGTTTACCACGTCGTTTATTACTGATAACGCCACTATCAGTAATACCGGATAATAGTGATGGAATATTTGTTGCATTTGTATAAATATTTTTGCCACTTTGTATTTCACTATTACTATCACTTTCATTCATTATTGAAATTAATTAAAAATTTTCACAAATATTATCAGTCATAAATAGTGCCAAAAAATAAACAAACAAAAATTTGTCCATTTCATTGTTCCATAATTTCAGTTAATTAATTTTCGTTGTTATTTCACTGCAATGAATAAACAAATAAGAATAAATAAATTGTTTTTTATTATTAGAATTATTATTGGAAATAAATAAATTATTTTTTATTATTGGAAATAAATAAAATAATATACCAAAAAAAAAAAAGATTAATTTTTTTTTTATTTTGTTTTTTGCAAAAAGATAATAATCTGATCAATGCCAAAAAATAAATAAACAAATAAAAAAAGAAAACAAAAAGAAAAAGAAAGAATGATTAAAAAAGAAAAAAAAAAAATAGTGAAAAATTGACCAAATTGTAAAGAATTAATTAAATCATATTGAAAATAATTAGATAAATTTATTATCATTATTACACAATTATTAAACATAAATATTAAATACAAAAATTTCATTTTTTTAATCTTATCACTTTAATCAATCATTTTTATCACTTCGTTTTTTTTTTCTTTTTTTTTTTAAACGGAATTAAAAAAAAAGAAATAAATGAATAAATTGATAAATTTTTTAATTAAAATAAGAAATTTTACCAAAAAAAAAAAAAAAAAAGAGAAAAGAAATTGTTCATTTTTGGTTTATTATAAAGCAAAAGAAGAAAATGAAAGTTATCAGATAAACAACAAATATATTTATTTCTATACTTTTCTTCTCTAAAATATTTTTTTTTTTGTTGTTTAAAGCATCAAATAAATATGATAATAAATAGCTTAAATGCTAGAATAGTTTAAAATATTTCGAGTGAAAATCAACCAAAAAAAAAAAAAAAAAACCTATGAATTCGTTTTTTTCATTTCTGATAAAAGTAAATTGATAAAAAAGGTCAATGAAATGTATAAGCAATATAAAAAAGTTTTTTTTTATACAATGGCTAATCATCAAATTATATCATTTCATCTCCTTCTCCTCCTCCTATTTTCTTCACTTTCTATGCTTTTTGCTTTTTGCTTTTTCTTTTTGATTGCAAAAAAAAAAAAAAAAAAAAAAAAGAGAAAAAAGCATTTTCCCATTCGCAAAATGTTATTCTATCATTTTCTTTTTCCATTTACTAACAAATCATTTGAAATATTTATTCGAAATGATATAAAGAAAGCAATGCATTAATGCAATTTTTATTGTATTATTATTAATTTTTATTATTGTTATTGTTGAATTATTATTATTATTTAATTATTATTATTAAAATACTATAATTATTACCAATTATCAATACTATTATAAATCTAGTCATTATTATTATTATTAAATTGTTATTAAGTATTGCTAATATTAATAATTTTTGCTCTTTTGTATATTATTATTATTAACTTTATCATTATTATTATTATTATTATTATTATTATTATTATTATTATTATTATTGTATTATTATTATTATTATTATTACTATTATTATTATTATTACTATTATTATTATTATTATTATTATTATTATTATTATTATTATTATTATTATCATTATTAGTATTATTATTATTACTGATTATCAATACTATCATTATTATTATTATTATTATCATTATTATTATCATTATTAGTATTATTATTACTGATTATCAGTACTATCATTATTATTATTATTATTATTATTAAAGTAGTCAACAATTAGTAATTCATTGCAACCAATTAGCAATATTATCAATTTAAAACATAAAGAAAAATCAAAAGTTCATTTATTTTCCTCATTTAAGCAATGTATAACGAGCTAATAAATCTAATCTATTTGGTTATTTTATTCTGAAACCAAAAAAAAACCAAAAAGAAAAAAAAAAAAGGAAAGAAAGAAAGAAATATTTCCACTAAAATGTTATTTATAAATTCACAACATATTTCATTTAAAAATGATTTTCCCATTTCAATCGTCAATAATCGTTTATAATCTAACCATAATGAATTCAAAACAAATTTCATTTTGATTTGAAAAAAAGTTTAGAAAAGATAAGAATGTTTAAAAATTTCTTTAACCTCTTTAAAAAGTCTTTAATAAGTTAACAATTTATAGTTAAATATTAATGTACGCTTAAATTAAAAAGCTTAAAAATTTAAAAAGGATTTAAAAAAAAAAAAGAAAAAAGAAGAAGCAAAGAAAAAAAAGAAATGAACTGGAAGGAATAGGAAAAGAAGTGAAAAAAAAAAAAAAAAAAATTGTCCGTTTCATTTGAATTGATTTTGTTTTTTATTTTTTTTTTTTTTTTGTTAGCTTTCTAAAAGACAATTACTGATTTCAGTTTATCAAACATTTTCATCCCTTTTCTCTCTCTCTCTCTCCCTCTTCCTCCCTCCCTCCCTCCCTCCCTTCCTCTCTCTTTTTGTTTTTCTCTTCCTCATCTCTTTCTTCGTTTTCAATTTTACGCCTTTTTAATTTATAATACATTTAGATGAAAAATAGAAAAAAGAAAACATCAAAAAGCAAATATCATTATTATCACTATTATCATCACAGTAAATTAACATAATCATTATTATCACTATTATCATCACAGTAAATTAACATAATCATTATTATCACTATTATCATCACAGTAAATTAACATAATCATTATTATCACTATTATCATCACAGTAAATTAACATAATCATTATTATCTTTATCATCACAGTAAATTAACATAATCATTATTATCACTATTATCATCACAGTAAATTACATAATCATTATTATCACTATTATCATCATAATCATTATTATCACTATTATCATCACAGTAAATTAACATAATCATTATTATCACTATTATCATCACAGTAAATTAACATAATCATTATTATCACTATTATCATCACAGTAAATTAACATAATCATTATTATCACTGTTATCATCACAGTAAATTAACATAATCATTATTATCACTATTATCATCACAGTAAATTAACATAATCATTATTATCACTATTATCATCACAGTAAATTAACATAATCATTATTATCACTGTTATCATCACAGTAAATTAACATAATCATTATTATCACTATTATCATCACAGTAAATTAACATAATCATTATTATCACTATTATCATCACAGTAAATTAACATAATCATTATATTTATCACAGTAATAACATAATAATTATTATCATCACAGTAAATTAACATAATCATTATTATCACTATTATCATCACAGTAAATTAACATAATCATTATTATCACTATTATCATCACAGTAAATTAACATAATCATTATTATCACTATTATCATCACAGTAAATTAACATAATCATTATTATCACTATTATCAATAAATTAAAAAATATATTATCATCACAGTAAATTAACATAATCATTATTATCACTATTATCATCACAGTAAATTAACATAATCATTATTATCAGTTAATAAAATTTAAATAACAAACAAAAAGTTTACTAGGATAATTTCTATTTATTCTTAAAGGACAAATTTCTAGTAATTTCAATAAATTAGCATAATGTTGAATTATTAATGAGAGAGAGGGAGAGAGAGAGAGAGGGAGGGAGAGAAAATGTAGTGTAAGTGCTTTTCGTTTCGTTCGCAATTAATTAGATAAATTTTTATTTGTAAAATTTTCATATCTTTTTTTTTTTATCCTTTTTTTCTTCAGAAATTTGAATTAGCTAAAAAAAAAAATTTATTACATTTTGAGAATTGAGATATTTGTTTAAACATTTTTTTGACATGTAAATTTTCAATTTTAATTTTACTTATTTAAAATTTTTCTTGTTTTAAATCTTTTTTTTTTTTTTTTTAACAGTGAAATTTATCATTTCAAAATATTTTTTTTTTTTTTTTTTTATAGTAAAATTTGTTGTTTTTGAGATGAAAATTTTGTATTTAAATTTGTAAAATTTATTCTTTTGATATGAAAACAAAATTTTTTTTCTTATTTGGTACTAAAATTCTAAATTCTAAAAAAAAATATTGAAAATAGTCATTTTGAAATGTGAAAATTTCAACATTTCGAATTAATGCTGAAAAAATTTGTCATTTTTTCATAATATTAAATGCTAACTATCAATTTGTTTGTGATTTTTCATTTTTATTTTCCTTCTAAATAAATATTGCAAAAAAATATATTATCATTAATAAATATTAATAATAATAATAAAATTTAATAAAAAAAGTTGTGTTTACTTTTTGAGAAAAATAAATTTAACTAACATTTATCTTACCATATAAATAAATAAATAAATACAATAAAATTACAATTTGATTTTTTAAAAAAAAAAAAAAAGAAAGCGAGAGAGAGAGAGAGAGGGAAAGAGGGACAAAGAGAGAGAGAAGTAAATGTGTGAATTGATTTGAGGTTGAAAAAATGATTGATCACATCGTGAATTTCAATTAATTAATTTAGGCTTGAAGGATAAAAACAAAAAACAAAACAAACTAAAAATGAAATTTCAAATTTAAAAAAAAAAAAAAAAGAATTAGAAAGCTTTTCTAATCTTATTTTTCAACTATTAAATGAAAAAAAAAAAAAAAAAAAAAAAAAGAAGGAAGGAACATTTAATGGTTAAATGTTAAAATTTGTTATGTAAACAAAACTTAAGCCAAATTTTAATGGAACAATTTTTATAACTTAAATTTTATCTTAATTTTTCTAAAAATTAAGAAATAAAAAAAAAATTTTTTTCATGCAAAAAAGTAGAAATAAATATTAAAAAAGTGAAAGAAAATTTCGTATTTTCGTATGAAATTTTACAAAATTTAAAAAAAAAATAAAATAAAAAAAGATTCATTGTGTTTTCTTTATTTTCTTTTCTTTTTTTTGGATATTTTATTTGAAAATGATTGAATTTATAATTTACTTATTTCTTTACTTTTGTTTTTTTTTAAAATCGACTACTAAAATTAACTTTAGAGCACAATTATATTGTAATTTTTTAATTGAAATATATTTTATGATATTATTAAGTTATATC